CTGACAGATGAACTATAAATTAGAGATTTCTATGTCCCAATTTTTGGATTCAATTAATTTGCTAGGATGGTTCATAGAACCCAGAGAAACATTTACTTATGTGTACCAGCTTATTACAAAATAATGTAATTCAGGAAAGGCCAGATGGAATAAAGCCATTGGGCAATGCATGTGGGAGCGAGCAAGGAGCTTCTATGCCCTGCTCCAAGAGTGCCAGTCTCCCCAAATCGCCATGTGCTCACCACCCCAGGAGCTCTGTGAACTCGGAACCCTATCTTTTTGTTTCTTACTGGAGACTCCATTACATAGGCATGAATGATTAAATAATTGGCCATTGGTGATTGAACTCAATCACTAGCTCATCTCCCCACTCCCAGATTGGGGGGTGGAATGAGACTGAGAACTCCAACTCTGTAATCACAGCTGTTGCTTCTCTTGGCAACCAGTCCATCCTTAGATCACCTAGGAGCTCTTCAAAAGTCACCTCATTTACATAAAATAAAATACTTTCTATCTATCTTTGTCATTTAGGAAATTCCAAGGGTTTTAGGAGCTCTGAGGCAGGAACAGGACAAAGAACAAGTAATGGATTTATTATTATAAATCATGATATCACAGTTTGTTATTCAATGATTATGTTACACCATTCATTTCATTATGTCTACTTTATCATTTTCATACCATCTCTTGTCTATGTCATATGGCCAGTGTTTTCACTTATTTCTTTTTACATATTGATTATACTTATTTTTTTATATTTATTTTAGAAAAGGGGAAGAGAGGGAGAAAGAAAGGGAGAGAAACATTGATGTGAGAGAGATACATCGATCTGTTGCCTCTTGTACACACCCCAACCAGGGAATGAACCCGCAACCAAGGCATGTGCCCTGACCGGGAATGCAACTGGCGACTTTTTGCTTTGTGGGATGATGCCCAACCCACTGAGCCACACCAGCCAGGGCTTATTATGCTTATTTTAAGTTACTGGTCAGTCCCTTCTAATCATTCTGCATTGGTGGGTGTTTATTTCTGGCCCAGTGGCTCTGTAGTGATGGAGGTGCTCACTCAGCCCTCTCCTTGTCTCATTTGTGAGCTCCTCCTCTCTGGGAGTGCTGGGCTGTAACTGGCTGACTCTGCCTGGCCCTGCTCTGCACCCCTCCCAGTGAGACAAAATAGGGGCAAAAGATGAACCCTCACAAGAAGCATCCTTGCCCCAGAGACCCAGGAATGAAGGCGACTGGCACCATGAGCTACCACCCATCAGGAAACTGGTTGTTAGAGAAAAGCACCCCTTGAAGGAGGCACACTGTTGGTGGAAGTACAACCCTGGGCATGGGGGTGGGAGGAGGTGTTCTCAGAGGGAACGTCTGAGAAGGCCCTGAGTGGACATGTGTTCCTATCACTGTGGCTCCGCAGCAGGTGCTCGCTGTGCAACATAAACAAGGTCATTCTGTTGTGAGACGCAAATATCACTCCAAAATCTTATCTGGACTCAGGCAAATACATCACTCTGAGAACCACAGAAATCACAACGTGCCCCCCCTCCTGGCTAACAAGAGCATCTGTCGCTCCTTTACAACGTTCAGCTTTGCCTTGTTCCATTTCTCCTCTTTGATTAACTGTATTCAGACAACTCAGTTACAGAATTATTTCGGCTTCTTAACAGGATCCTATGCAGCACAGATATCTGTTTCTTAAAACTCCCTCCCAAATCACCTAACACACAGTCAAATCTCCTGCAAATCCTCCTGACACACTGCTCCTGAGAGATCATATGGTTCACCACTATATGCAATATCCCTGTATATAATAAGTGTGGCATTTAAATAAGCTAAAAGGAAGCAAATCAACTCTATTTGATGTTAGGCACGTTTGTGGTGGTTTTTGCCTGGAGGACCCTGGCATTTCCCATTTACTGTCATTGTCTCACGGTATCTCTGTGGGAAAGAGAAGGGGGTACAAAATCTTATTTTATAGGTGTAAAAACTGAGGCCTGGTCAACATATGTGGTTTGTTTAAATTCACAGTTATGAGCCCAAACCAAGCCCTCTGATTCTAAATCTGCCTTTCAAAAGGGCCATCCAGAAACACTGCTTCCCAAGAAGACTCCTGCACAGTCATCCTGGGGGCAGTGCAGGCCCCGACAGGGTGGGCTGTGTGCCCTGCACTCTGAGTGTGGGTCAGGAAGGGCGTACCACAGCACAACCAAGGCAGTGGAACCCTGCCTCACAGATGAGCAAACTGAACTGAAGGAGATGGGACTTGGCCAAGGTCACAGAGCTGGGCAGTGGCAGCAGTGGGACTCCGTCCCCGGAAAGAGGAAAGGGGGTACAGAGGGGCAGCCAGTTTTTCCCAAGGAAAGATAGGAAGTGTCTCTGAAGGCTCTTGAGGTGAAGTGGATGCCAGAGTGGAGGGGATTCTGGGAAGGATGGGAGGGGCTTTATAAGTTCCAGAACAAATGTATGCAGTGGCCTGATCTCTGAGGTAGAGGCAGAGTGGGTGGGTGATCAGGAGCTGATGCAAGTGAGAGGGATATCTCCTGATGGGAAAGGCCTGCAGGAGACTCCGGAGAACAGAAGGGGCTCGGAGCTGGGGAGCACCCAGAACACTGGCTCGCCTCTTCCCAGCCCAGTTCCAGGAAATGTCAGGTCTGCAGGGCGGCTTCCTGACCTCTGGACTCAGTGTTCAATAGAAACAAACACTGTTGCCAAAGCCAGGCCTGGCAATGTGATCTGCATCCAGTGACCTTATTTCACCGCCTGCCACTTTGGAAGAGGAGCCATAGGAAGGTCAGGCTGCTAAAGGGCAGGGAAGAGAGGTGAACGAGTTGTCCACAGATGTTCTAGGCACTGGATCCCCTGGTCTCTGTCAATGGCTTTCGGAATGTGGTTCTACTCTCCTGGACATTTTTCAGGTACAGGGATGGGGCAGCAGGAAGTAAGGAAACCAGGCCCTCCACAACCCAAGGACAGTTCATTGGAAGGGATTTAGAAAGGACTCTCATCCATCCACATTCCTTCTATTGTTTGGAGGGCTCTATGCCACACCCACCATGTGGCTCTGCAACTTCTGTATGACACTTCCATGATGGGCTCCCTCACCACCCCAGGCTGACACGACATTTTATGACAACTCTACTAGAAATGTTATTTAGAATTAACTTTATTGTGCTTCATAAAATTCTTGTTCCATTCCATCTGGATCGTGTCTTTTGACTACCGTCACATGGTTCAAGCCCTTTACCCACAAGACACTCATTATCCCTGCTGCAATCAGCCTTTATTTCCTATCTCAGTTAAATGGTATCTAAATATTCAAGTCAGAAACTTGTGAGTGCACAAAAATTCCTTCTTTTGTTTACTATTTTATACCCAACCAATTCCCAAGTTCCCTCAAATGGACCTTATACATGTTCTCCAATGTACCCACCTCCTTGACCTGCTACCATCACCCTAATTCTGGCCACCACCACCTACTGCCTTAGTGACAGTATGTAGCTCTCTGCAGGTCTGATTTTTTCATACCTGTTCCCCTCCAATCCTTCTCCACACTATGGTCAGAACAAGCTGTGAAAATTCAAATCTGACCATCTCTCCCCTGTTGAAATTCCTCCAATGATCCTTTAAATGAAACCCAAAGCCTTATAAAAGTTATAATCCTATTGTCAATCTGCTCATGCCTCATCTCTGACCACCTGGATCTCACACTGTACACCCAGTTGGGCTGGAGAGTATTATCACTGGGACCTGGCCTCCTTTGTCTTGCTTTTAAGCCAGTGCACAGACTATGCACACAGTGATACTTGGACAAAGTTCTGAAAGAAGAAAGAATAGTCTTTGGAACCTCTGCAACTTCCTTGAGAGTCCTTTTGGAAAATTAAAACAAAAAATTCATTTCACACATACATGGGAAAAATAGTAAAGAAAGTTCTCATGTATCCGTCATCCATTATCCACCAGTGATAGAATCTGAGATACCACAGAACAAGTATCAAAACCAGGAACTTGACCCTGGAACAATATGACAATAAGATATAGATCTTATTCAGGTTTAACCATTATTGACCTGCATTCCTTTTATTTTTCTTGGTGTGTAGTTCTATGAAATTTTTTCTGCAATCGTGGGCTTGTGTAATGATCACAGTTAAGATACAGAACTATTCCACACCCCAGTGACACTCGCCCACACTGCACGGTTAGGGTCACCGCCTCCCCGTAGCCCTGATTCCTACCATCTACCTGTTCTCTATGGTAATTTTGTCATTCCAAGAATGCTATATAAAAAAGCATACAATTTGTAAATTTTTTAGGCTATATTTGTTTTACTCAACCTAATGCCTTTGAGATTCATTCAAGCTATTTTATAACTCAATAGTCTTTTTTTGCTTTCTGTGAGTTTTCTACAAATTATATACCCATTCACTTGTTGAAAGATAATTGGGTTATTATTGGCTCTTAAAAATGAAGCTTCCAAAATGTGGTATTTAAGTATAATGGAATATTATTCAGTCTTAAAAAGGAAGAAAATTCTTATATATGCTGCAACATGGATGAACTCCATGTTACACATGGAGTTTAAGTAAGAAGTAAGTCAGGCACAAAAAGACAAATATGTGATTCCACTACCATAAGGTACCCAGAGTAGTCAATTTCATAGAGACAAAAAGTAGAACAGAAGTAACCAGGGACTGAAGGGTGAGGGAGGGATTGGATATCAGTGTTCAATGAGTACAGAGTTTCAGTTAGGGATGATGAAAGTTCTGGAGATAATTGGTAGTAAAGGCTGCACAACAATGTAAATGTACTTAATGCTGCTGAATTTTATACCTAATACTGGTCAAAATGGTAAATATTATGTATATTTTGCCACAATAAAAAATGGACAGCAATTTGAAGGATGATTTGTGCTGTATTAAAGCATATGACTGCTGAGCACTGTGCCAACAAGAGTTGTTTATTAATCTGAGGTCGAAGGCCAGGCTGGCCTATTTAAGTTCACAAGGCTGATTGGGCTCTGACATTTCGGAGTCCAGCCTCCTTCCCCACCTTGAGGCATCTGCTAGAGCCTCTGGCTGGAGGGACAGCTTCACAGTCTTCACATCCCTGTAAGTTCTTGCTGGTGAATGCTTCTAGGGTCCTGGATTTGTCTAGGAACCTGTCTTGCCCTTGGAGGCCTAGAGGTAGCTTTCTGAAAGGTGGCAGTGGGGAGATGGCTGACAGAAGCTCTGCCAGGGTGTCTCTTGCTCTGCTCACACTAGGGCACCTGTGACTTTCCTGTGTTTACCTGACTGTTTGCAAAGGAGACCACCTCCATTTTCAAAGATAGCCATAAAGAATTAGAAAGATAGCCACAAAACTGGGCTACTGAGATTTCCTGAGAAATGACAGTTTAAAAGAGAACTTTGAAGGACACATGAAATGCTAAGATTGAGGAATGGGAAAGGAAGTTAAGAAAGGTGGTAATCACCAGTATTTTTCCTTTCTATAAAGTATTTTTATTGATTATGCTATTACAGTTTTCTCAATTGTTCTCCCTTTATCCCCCCTCTGCCCTGAACCCCCAACCCTCCAGCATTCACCACCCCCTTAGTTCATGTCCATGGGTTGTACATACAAGTTCTTTGAGTTCTCTGTTTCCTATACCATTTTTATTTTTCCCCGTCTATTTTATGTCTACTAATTATGTTTCTTCTTCCTTGTACATTTTCCTCCCTATTCCTCCCTTCCCAATCCTACTGAAATCCCTCCATGTGATATCCATTTCCCTGATTCTGTTCCTGTTCTAGTTATTTGCCTAATTTTTGTTTTCATTTGTTTTCATTGTCTTTTCTTTTAGGTTCATTTGTTGATAGTTGTGAGTTTGTTGTCATTTTATTGTTCATATTTTTTATCTTCTTTTTCTTAGATAAATCCTTTTAACAGTTCATATAGTAAGGGCTTGGTGATGATGAACTCCTTTAACTTGACCTTATCTGGGAAGCACTTTATCTGCCCTTTATTCTAAATGAAAACTTTGCTGGATAGAGTAATCTTGGATGTAGGTCCTTGCCTTTCATGACTTAGAATACTTCTTTCCAGCCCCTTCTTGCCTATAAGATTTCTTTTGAGAAATAAGCTGATAGCCTTATGGGAACTCCTTTGTAGTTAACTGTCTCCTTTTCTCTTGCTGCTTTTAAGATTCTCTCCTTATCTTTAATCTTGGGTAACTTAATAATGATGTGCCTTGGTGTGTTCCTCTTTGGGTCCAACTTCTTTGGGACTCTCTGGGCTTCCTGGACTTCCTGGACTTCCTGGAAGTCTATTTCCTTCACCAGATTGGGAAAGTTTTCCTTCATTATTTTTTCAAATAAGTTTTCAATTTCTTGCTGTCGCTCTTCTCCTTCTGGCACGCCTATAATTTGGATATTGCAACATTTCAGGTTGTTTCAGAGTTTGTAAGTTTCTCTTTACTTTTTTGGATTCTTGTTCTTCATTCTGTCCCAGTTGGATGTTTATTTTTTCCTTTTTGTTCCAAATCATTGCTCTGAGTCCTGGTTTCCTTCCTGTCACTGTTCCCTGAATATTTTGCTTTATTTCATTTTGGGTATCTTTCATTTGTTTTTTCATTTTTCAACTAAGCTCAATCAGTTCTGTGAGCATATTGATTACCAGGGCTTTAAATTCTCCATCAGATAGGTTGGCAATCTCCTCATCGCTTAGCTCTTTTTCAGAAGTTTTGCTCTGTTCTTTCATTTGGGCCATATTTCTTTGTCTTGGCACACCAGTCTAGTTGTTCTGTTTTTTTTTTCTTTAATACCTTGGCTGTTGGAGTCCTATGCAGTTTGATTTTCTGGCACTTCTGGTTGTTTATTGATTTTAGATTGGTTGTTATCTTTCTTTTGGTTGTTTGAGGAAGTGAAGTGTTTCTTCCTATGACTCCATCTTAGCCAGAACCCCAACTTAATCACCAGTATTTCTGACTCACAGAACATAAGAAATTTCTGCCAGGAACTGGAAAGGAAACTGGCACCTTGCCAGGGACAAGGTAGTGAAAAATTTCTAGAGAAAGCACAACTCTTGGTAAGTCTCTCTTGCTGTGGGAAATAAAACTTCCAGAGGAAGCAAACCCAAGTTGATTCCGGGCTGGGTTAGTGACTAGTTGTGAATCTTTTGCTCTTGGATCACCAGCCCACAGCTTACTGCCTTCCATTGAGTCAGTGCTGGTTAACTGGCCCTGAAGGACAAACTCCTGCCTAGATGTGAGGATGGGATGCAGGTGGGCCCAAAGGGGAGAGGTGGGGAATGAGGGAGCTCCTACAGATTCCTGGGTCTCCATTCACTTCCACCCGCTAAGCCAACAGGCATGAGTGTGCCCATGATGTAGGCCCATTTCCTTTCATAAATGACATGGGAAGCATGTTCACAGCCTTCTAATGGTAATGCCAGGAACCTGAGGCACTTGTGATCTCTTCCCTAGAGACCCCACTGCATATCGTGCCTAACTGTGTTAAAGTACTAATTGCACTATAGCAAAAAGAAGATTTAATTTCCAAAATCCCCAGTCTGGAGGCAGGAATGGGTGGCTCATCCATCTCTACATTGCCTCTGCACAATGCAGGTTGGAGGACAGGAAATGTTTTGTAAACGCATGTTGATTAACTGAGCAAAATGAGATCATCTTCCTTGACTTTTCACATACCAAGGTGAGGACCATGTCTCTGTTTCCATCGCTCTCTCTTCTTCTCCTGAGTGTGGTGACAGCATCTTGCTCAGAAACAGAACCCCTTGAGAGCCCTCAGAAGACCTGCCCTGTGTATACCTGTGGTTATCCAGGCAGCAACGGCTTCCCAGGCAAAGATGGGCGTGACGGTGCCAAGGGAGAAAAAGGAGAACCAGGTACAGCTGGGGCTGTTTTATCTCTGCGACTCTTGACCTTCCAGACAAACTGCCTAGAGATGAAAGAGCACTGTCCTATTTATATAGGTTGCATTTCCCTCAACTACACATTATAATTCCAAACAGATACACCTCTGACTCCCTGGCACCCCAGTCTTCCACACAGGAGTGGGCAACAGGTGGTTGTCCCAGCTGCTCATGGAGCTGGCCTGTGACAGGCCATCCCGAGGGGTGTGGGAGGATTTTCCTCTCTGGGCCAGTGGAAGTAGTGATTAAGAAAGTTGGGCCTGGATTAATGTCTCTTTTGTCCTAGGAAGGGATTAAACATCAAACTCTTGGAGAAATAAAGCAAAAACACAGATACTAATGGACAGTTCTTTCATCTTCCAATAGGCCAAGGGCTCAGAGGTGTGCAAGGTCCTCCTGGAAAATTGGGGCCTCCAGGAAACCCAGGGCCCCCTGGGTTACCAGGAAGAGTGGGCCAAAAAGGAGACCCTGGGAAATGTCCAGGTAAGAAGCTAACCTCAACTATTACTTTGAGGGCATCCAATGTCCTGTGACTTTTAGTTCCAGGTGGGAGCTGCCCTTACTCCTGCTGCTTCACAGAAAGATACCCAATTCTGCTTCCCGACCCAGCGCCCTCAGCCCTGTCTAGGGGATTCCTACCAGTTCCTAAGTATAGACTTGCAGACACTCTAGGCCCACTTCCTCACCAGGTACCCTTCGAAAGAGCTGGCCCCTCATTTTCCTTTAGCTGACACAATGTGAGGCTGTGGTCCAAAAGGGAAAAAACAGACCACATATGTGCTGGGTGTATTATGTCTGTTTTCACAACAGCAGTATATGCATGGTATGTCAGTTATCCTTCACTTCAGGAGGAGAAAAAAAACAAAGCCATTTATTTAAATCACAATTCTGTGAATCTGCCAAGTGATTTCCCTGCTAATCTCAGCTGGACCCACTCTTGTGTCTGTGGTCAGCTGGTGACCAATGGTCTCACTTACATTTGTTATTTACTTGTTGGCTGGAGTGATGAGGGTAATTGATCCACAGGTCTCTCATCCTCCAACAGGCTAGACCAGCTTGTTCACACAGAATTCATTACAAGATTCCCAATGTACATGATTGCTTCTGTCACATTCTATTGGTAAAACAAGTCACAAGACCAGCCCAGATGTGGGGAGTGGGGAAATAGACTCCCTTTCTTAACTGGAGAAGCTGCCCCATGTTGAGGCCATGTTTGCCATCTATTACACATGACCGGTCTCATGCCCTTCCCCTTGAATAATGTGCAGCTCACAAATATCTTGGATTACTGATTAATAGGACAAACTGGGAAAAACAAATAAACAAAAACCAACAACAAAAACAAAACCTCCCTAAAGACAAAACCTAGCAATCTTTTTAGTCAAGATTCACCAGCACATAATAATTCCCCAAGAGGTTTCTTTTTTATTCATGATAGAGCTGTTTACCTGAAAAACAATTAGTGAGTCCCTGGGGTATGGAGTGCTATCATGGCTAGGTCAGTGGGGAGCACACGTGTGTTCGTGTGTGTGTGTGTGTGTGAAGTTCCTTTAAGTACATTCAACAGATGATGAGTGATGTTTTGGGCTGGATGGAAATAGAGATACTTTTCCTTCTTTTCTTCTCAATACTTTTTACTTCCCTCCAAAGAACAAATATCAATGTATAAGAATTTTTTTTTAATTTTGAAAAAGGCATCCTACCTGCTTGTAGTTGTGAAATCCCTCACCAATGTTCTTTCACTGCTTTAATTTTCCAGCTTGTGAGTGTGACGTGGCTGCTTCAGAAAGAGAAGCCCTGCGCTCGGAATTGAACCATATCAAAAAGTGTAAGCCCTCTCTCTTACATTTCAGGCAGCTTGCAGTTTAGGAAGGTGCAAGGTAAATATTTATTAAAAACATATAATTTTCTAGTACCTGAATAGATGTTTCTCATATTCTGATCTCATAAATTTGTTCCAACCTTTCAGTAGAAATAGAAGTTAAGAGAAATCAACTAACTTGCTGAAATGCCCAGAGCCAGAAAGTGGCAGAGGCAGTTGATACGTCGAAGTTAGTCTGACTCCAGAGCCCATGATCCTGTACTGCTGACACTCAGTACGTGCACGTGTCCCTGTGAACGGGACCTGTGCTTCTTCCCCTTTGTTGTGCTGGTGCTGAGACCGGACAGTGGGGCCTCTCCCCTTCCTTCTGTGCCCTCTTGTCCTCAGGAAAATATTCTCTGACATTTTTCTTTATTCTCAAGTTAATATTGGGGTAAAATTCAGAATTACCAATTACATATGTTTTAGAACTCTTATCCAAAAAAACAAAGGCCTTTGTTCCAGTCTGTCCTCAGGTTAGGTTTTCCAGATTTCACATGTAAAAGAACAGGACACCTCATTAAATTTGAATTTCAGGTAAAGAACAACTAACTTTTTTTTTTTTTAGTGTAAGTATGTCCCCAAAATTGCCTGGGAGATACTCATAATAAAACATTTCATTGTTTACCTGAAATTTAAGTTTAACTGGACATGCTGTATTTCATGTGGCAGTGCTTCTCTAGAAGCCTTTAGTCAGAAAAATGCCTTGGACTGGGCTTACAGACAAGCCTGTATCACCCACATTTTTCCCCCTTTAGTGCTGAAATTCCTTCTGGGCAAACAAGTTGGAAAGAAGTTCTTCTTCACCAGTGGTGCAAAGATGGCCTTTGAAGAAGCGAAGGCTCTGTGTGCCCAGTTCCAGGGCTCGGTGGCCACCCCCAGGAATGCTGAAGAGAACAAGGCCATCCTGGACGTCGCCAAAGAAGAAGCCTTCCTGGGGGTCACAGATGTAGAGACCGAAGGTCATTTTGTGGATCTGACAGGACAGAGCATTATCTACCAAAACTGGCATGATGGTGAGCCCAACAACAGTGGCACTGGGGAAGACTGTGTGATGATTCTGAAGCAAGAAGGCAAGTGGAATGACATCGCCTGCTCAGTCTCCCTTTTGGCAGTTTGTGAGGCCTCTGTCTAAGGAAGCATGTCCCTCAGGCCCTCCTGTCCTCAACCTCATCTTGGGTCCACATTTGCTTTAAAAATAAATCTATGCCAATTTTGCCATACCCAGCCTTGATTTGCTCCTTTGTGAGGAATCAGAGAAAATGAGAAGAATGGGCTGAAGGGTGGGATGTGGAGGTGAGCAGTGAGAAGAAAGTGGCAGAGGTGCAGAGGGAGTTTCTCATTCAGACCCAGTTGCTAATAATAGTCACTAACAACAACAACAAAATCATAACAGTGGTGGTAAGTAGTAGCTGCAATAGAAGTACTGATAACATATATTTTTTAAAGATTTTATTTATTTATTTTTAGAAAGAGGAGAAAAACATCAATGTGTGGTTGTCTCTCACGTGGCCCCCACTGGGGACCTGGCCTGCAACCCAGGCATGTGCCCTGACTGGGAATCGAACTCGTGACACTGTGGTCCGCAACCAGCACTCAATCCACTGAGCTACACTAGCCAAGGCTGATAACATATTTTTAATGTTTCTTAGGACTCAGACCCTATATTATGCATCTTATATTAATAATCTATATTATTCATATAATCTATGTAATATTAGTATAATTTATATAATATGATTTTTAATTAGACCAAACACTTTTGTTCAGTGGTTGTAGCTTGCTGAAGTATTGCATGAAAATAAAATGGATTTATTTTTCCACTTACCATAAACCCCAGTGTCGTGTTGAGCCCTCCTTTCTCTCTGGGTAGAGAGCTCCGCCAATTACATGTCCCAGCCTAATTCCACAGCTTGCGGCTGGTCTCAGGTATGAAGAGGATCTATCTTGTTGCTTTCTTTCTGAAATATATCTTATTTTCTTTTAAATGAGCTACTAATCTATGTAAAGAATGTAAATCTTAAGTGAACTAATAGACAAATTCTTCTAAGTACCTTCTAGGTCAAGATGCAGAACATTGCTAGCATCCAAGAAGCCCTTTCATAACTCTCCTGATTGATATTCACAAGGTAAATCTATTCTGACCTCTACTACAATACATTAATTTTGTTGACTTACAAACTTCACATAGATGGAATCATACATACGTACATATATACATACATACAGTATTAGGGTTTTTTTTTATTCAAAATTAAGTCTGTGAAGTTCATTCACATTATTATATTATAGTGGGAGGCTCTTCATTTTCATTGCCATGTAGGGTTCCACTATATGAATATACCTCAGTTCTATTTTTAATGAACTCTTGGTCTGCTTCTAATTTTTGATCATTAAAAAAAGACTCATGAAAATTTCCGTACTTGTCTTCTGGTGGACATAGGCGCTAATTTCTCCCAGTTATCTACCCAGGAGTAGAATCAGTGGGTCTTGGGGTAAGCATGTGTTCAGCTATAGAAGCTGCCAGAGTTCCAAAGTGACCAGATGGATTTACACTCCCACCAGCCACGTGTGTCAGCTGTAGTTGCTCTGACAACTTGTGAGGAGTTGGTATTTTCAGTTCTTTTAATGTTGGCCATCCCTGTGGGTATAAAGTGATATTTCATGGTGGCTTTACTCTCTGTCTCCATGACAAGTAATATGTTGAAGACTTTTTGATCAGCTTTTGGCTACTTGGATATCTTCTTTTGTCAAGTCTTTTTGTAATTTGATTAAATTAAGTACCCAGTATCTTTCTTTTTTAATAAATTTTTAAAAATTTATTTTTAGAGAAGGGAAGGGAGGAAGAAAGAGGGAAACATCAATGTATGGTTGCCTTTTGAGCGCTCCCTACTGGAGACCTGTCCCACAATGCAGGCATGTACCCTGACTAGGAATCGAATTGGTGACCCTTTGATTTGCAGGCTGGTGCTCAATCCACTGAGCCACACTAACCAAGGCAGCCAGTATCTTTCTTATTGGTTTGTAAGAGGTACTTTTATATTTTGAATATAAATCCTTTTTGTTTATATGTTTTACAAATAGTTTTCAAGTATATGACTTGCTCCCAGTCTTGACTTTTGATGAACAGAGTTCTTAATTTTATCAAACTCCAAAGTATCAATATATTCCTTCAAATTTAGTACTTTTTATGTCCTGTTTAAAAAATCTTTGCCTAGTGCAAAAATCATAAAGATAATCTTATATTTTTAATAGCTTATTGCTAAACCTTCTATTTATCCCTTTTGAAATCTACATGATACAGTAATACTATTGTTGGAAAGACAATTCTTCTTTCACACCCATTGAATTAGAATAGTACCCTTTTATAAATTGTGTATGTATGCATCTATTTCTGGGCTTTCTATACTATTCTACTCATTTAGTTGTTGATGCATGTGCCATATACTACATTATCTCAGTTACTGTGCTATTAAAATAGGAAACTATATGTGCTAGTGTATGCCTTCCAGCTTTGTTCTTCTTCAAGATTGCTTTGGCTTTCCTTAATTATTTGCATTTCCATATAAATTTTAGAACAAACTTTTCAATTCCCATGAAAACCTGATCAGTTTCTATTGGGACTGCATTAATCCTTTTCATCAACTTATGCAGAATTGACAACTAACTTGAGTCTCCAATCAATGATTACAATATAATTCTTCTTTTAACTAGTATTTCTTTAATTTCTTTTGTTTTTCAAGTTTTTAATTTGGAAGTCTTACATATCTCATTTTGGTGGTTTTAAAAATAAGATAATTTTAATAATTTTTTATTTTCTACTAAAAAAGAGAGATTTTTTATTTCTGTTATTTTTACAGAAATACAATTAATTTTTATAATATGATATTGTTGTCAGTAACCTCAATACATTCACTTCTTAATTCTAAAAATTTGTAAATTCTCCTGGATGTTCTATATACACAGTAATGTAATCTGAAATTGTGGAGTTACATTTTCCTTTCCAATTGTTACATCTTTTTTTTTCCTTGTTTTATTACACTGGTTACCAACCTTAATGCAGTATTGAACAGAACTAGTAAGCATCCTTACCAGGTTCATTGAGATGAATTTACTTTATTTAAGTTATTAAGACAATCTTCATCTTATTAAAAGTTTCATATTCATATTTAACTCACCTCTCTTCCCTTCCTACCTACCTTTTTGTGCAGGGGCTTTTACATGAGTGTAGACTCTTACTTTCTATCATCCCATGCATGCTTCCTTGAAGAGAGTTTTTAGGTGTGGGGCTGAAAGGAGGGATGATGATTCTTAAAATGAATAGTTGTGCTGGCTACTAGTTCTTTCTCTGTCTTTACCACCACTGACCTTGCTCCTTGTCAGTAGATCCCCTAGGGATGGATGGCGTCTCAAACTAACTTACTGAAGACGAGATCAATCCCAATTCCCCTTCACATAGCTGTCCCCTGTGAGAATGCCCCATACGTGAAAGCTGCTCTACTTTGTCTTCAGTGACACTTAACCATGCCCAAAAATAATCCTAAGACTCAAAGGATTAATATTTGTTGACCTTGAGAAAATCCAAGTACCTTCAAAAGTGGTTCTTGGAGATGTGCTCAATTATTTAAGTTCTGGCAGCATAGAATCTCCTCAGTGGAAGATTTTAAAGTCAACAGAATTACTTGGAGAAATCTGAGCTAATGGGCTTTGTTAAAAGAAAGTCAGATGCCCTGGCTAGTGTGGCTCAGTGGGTTGATTGAGCATGGGCCTGAAAACCAAAGGGTTGCCAGTTCAATCCCCAGTAAGGGCATATGCCTGGGTTGCAGGCCCAGGTCCCCAGTATGGGGCACGTGAGAGGAAACCATGCATTAATGTTTCTCTCCCTTTCTTTCTCCCACCTTTCCCCTTTGTCTAAAAATAAATAAATAGAATCTTTAAAAAAAAGGAAAATCAGATCACTTCCTAATTTAGGAGTCAAATAACTGATAGAAACAATAAACATTGTGTAATTTTAGTCACTCAGTTCCCAGGTACAATACGGATGGGTTGCTAAGCACACTTCTGCTATTGTGCTAAACTTCCAGAGAGCACCAGAGCACCCACAGAAAATGGAAAGGCAATGAAATGAAGTGTTTCAGAATATGAGTTCTCCAGTCAGGCCTATCCAAACTGGATTCACAGTTCTTTCATTTACTGGCAATGTAACACATTGAATCAATTACTTAACTTCTCTGCGTCAACCCATTTAGTTGCAACTGGGAGAAATAATGATCCCTATTACATAAGAATTATTGAGATAAGTAAATAAATTAATACCTTTAAAGTGTTTAGTAGAGTGCCAGATGCTACAGGTTAAGTCTTAATCTACTCAGTCATATTTCTAGGCATATTTTCAATGAGATTATATGGTTGGTTATATGACAAATAACATTTATTGATTTTTGAAAACTAAATCTACCTTGCTGTCATGGACTAAAGTGCACTCGGTCACATTGTGTTCTTTGTATGCATTGCAGGAGTTAATTTGCAAATAGCTAGTTGAGAAAATTTGCAACTATGTTTATGACACATATTTACTGTTTTTTCCCCAAAATACCTGGTTTTGGTGCCAGTGCTGTGGTGACCTCATAATATTAGCTGGTGTTCTCTGGTTTCCTATTCTCTGAAATAACGTGTGTAAGGCTATGCCTTAATGTTAGAGAACTTCACCAGTGAAGTCATCTTGGAATGAATGGTGTTTTCTTTCTGAAAAGGTTTTTTAATTTCTGATTTTATTTCCTTAAGATCTACATTTATTCATTTTTCCTTTGTCTTTCATGCAGTTTTCCTAAATTGTGCTTTCTCAATAAATTTATCCATTTCATCTTATTTATTTAACATAATGGCATAAAGTTGGATTTAATTTACTGTTATTTTTCTTTTCAGTTTTTCAATTTATTAATTTATTAATTACATTTTATTGACTATGCTATTACAGTTGTCTGAAGTTTTCCCCCTTTGCCCCCCCTTCCACCCAGCACTCCCAACTCCCTCAGGCAATCCCCACACCATTGTTCATGTCCATGGATCATGCATATAAATCTTTGGCTACTACATTTTCTATACTCTACTTTGTATCCCCAGTGCTATTCTGTAACTACCTATTTGTACTTCTTTATACCCTCACCACTTCACCCATTCCCCCACACCCACCTTCAATGCGGCTACCATCAAAACGCTCTCT